ATATATACACGCATACAAACATACACGGACATACATGTCACGCAACTCCACGGAATTAAAGATAAGTGAGGAAATCTCCAGTCTATCAAATTGTATATACTAAATAGCACGCTGCAATGTACATCATGTGATGTGCAAATACGTGATCGTAGTCACATAACGTAGACTACGCAGTGCGAGCCAATATCACCATATACAAACGTCGAGAAATTAATAGTTAGTATTGAACTATCACATATATTTGTCCATACACAATTTCACGTCAAAGAGCATCAGCTGTTGGATGTACTTTTCAGCTGACAGAAAATGCGATAATAACGTGTACTTTAAGACGTGACATGTCATATGGAAAAAAGAACAATAGAAAAGTATAATTGTTGAAACATTTCTAACAATGATTTTTGATTTGTGTTTCTTGGTAAAAATAATTTATGACCCAGCTGATCCGATCGACACATGTAATTACAGCCAATATTTCATTGTCCAATCGCTGAGAAAATTTCGCATAATTATAAATTTAAGACGTGACCTCTCACCTTACTCCATAACATATTGGAATTATTTATATGAATACTAATAACTTACATATATGTATGATACACAACTGTGGTCTGCAGGAGTAAGTAAGTAAAAGTAAAAGTGATTATTTTAGTAAAGATCAAATAAAGTTTACTACAGAAATTGTGCAGGACTGAATTTTTTCAATATAAATGCTTATTTTCATTCTATTTTCTTTAAAAAATAAATTAATATTTTGCATATTTGTTATACATTAATAATTTCAAACTGAAAAATTAAAAACAAATTTTGGAATCGAAAATTTTTACATAAAAACATTTTAAAAGTTCTCTAAGAGCAGTTTAGTGTTAGCTAGCAAACTTATTAATGCATAAAAGCAAAACACTCTCACGATTGAATTATCGAAATACTTGAATTGCACAAATTGTTACATACTTTTTAAATCAATATTTTATGATCAGAATTATAATCTAGTATATGAAAAGTAGATCAAGGTTTAGTTATATTTGCTACGAAATTTTGTCATAAAAAATTTGTATTCAATATGCTGCATAGAAGGAATACAAAAGATACATAAAAGAGATCAAGAAGCAGAAGTAATAATAATAAGGAAATTCTAGAATTGTGTGCATAATAAACTGCTACAAATATTTGCTTGGTAGTTAGTTACACGTTTGCTTTATGAAGATTTTTACAGCGATGTAGACCTGATTATTTGAATTGTACAAGAAAAAAAAAAGCAGTCTTTATAAAACCTACTTACAATTTCAAATAAAACTGTGAACCAAGTTCAGATTCAAGGTCAAGTCTTAGCTTCAGTCCAAGCAAATTCAAAACACTTCAACAATAAGAATTCCAAATTAACACAAAAGTAAGTAATGCAAATATTCTAACAGCATTGCCTTGCAGTCAAAAAAACTGAATATCTTAAAATAACATTTTAAAATATGAATTTCGCACGATAACTGAGAATAACCATTTGCGAAGTTTAATAGTAAACGAAGCAAAAATCACTTCATTCTTACATCTTTGACTGAAATAAGATGATTTGAGCAAGTGAAGTAAATAATAATGATAACTATGGTATTACTTTGAGTAAAATCAATCGATGATATAATAAATAATACTTACATCATAATTTGATTAGAATGATCTATGCAGACCCATTTCCCCACTATATGTAAGTAATATTGTGTGGAATAAATAAATTGAGCAAGTAAATAAACCAGAAAATCGGACATTACTCGAAAAGTCAAATCAAAACCCACAATTCTTTGCTGTTTTATTCCCTCGATGATATTATGAATAAAATTTGAATAAATAAACAAAAATATAATTGAAACACAGGAATAAATTAATACATAAGCCAAAAAAATAAAACAGATAATCTGATATTACTGCTTAATTTATGCTTATGCCAGTGTAGAAAAGAACAGAAAAACTGTTACTATTTTCAAACTCATTAAATATGCATGATTATTCCACAGTGAATCATAATTTATTCAGATTTTTATCCCTACTACAACTGAGAATAAATAGTTGCATCAGGAAATACGTGATATTATTGGATGATTCAGCACAGAATTTTATACATGAGCAGTAATACTGCTTTCAAAAATTTTCTTCAAATAATCATCGCTTACAATACATCATGAAATAAATAAAATGTACCCAGATATTCGTTACACAGTCTGAAAGTGTCAAAGTTCATAACTCATCATGAGAAATAATTATTTCGGAACATATTCCTGTCAACATTTCAAATTTTGCAAAGAATTCTATTCATAAGACGAAATCCAATCTTAAAAGTTATTTTTTCAAATATTTTAATTACTTTCTTTCCTAATAAAATATTTTGAACTTTTTACAATGAAATGAATTTCTAAAAAAGCAAAATTATGACAGAAATTGATGTCTGAGGTGCAAATTTCTACACATATGTTTTTTTTTTTTCTAAAAGTATTAAAAACATCAATTACAATAAAAGCAGTAATATACCATTCAATGACGATTAATGAATAAATAATCATTGTCGAAAGCAAATAATAAGCTTCTGACAATTTCATGAATAAAAATTAGCAATATATTCATGACAAATACTAGCAAACTGATCATCATAAATGAAGAGAAAAACTACATAACTTACAAGTCAGAAATTTCTTACAATTATGAACAACTGATCAGCTTGCAGAAATAAATCTTTCATTTTTTGATTTGATTTTAATTAAAAATTTGCGAGATGACTTAAGTGATGAGCAGAATGGAATACAATTCAAAATCTAAGACGTATACGACAATAATAAAAGTAATGAAATAAATGATAAAAAGTTAGACGTTTCTTAAAAGTAAGCGAAATGAATGAATTAAAGAAGACAAAAATGGTTCAATTTTTCACTCGAAACCTGTTAGAGAATGAAACGATATCACGACGGACAAAGGCGGAAATACCCGTAAGATGCTTGAGGCAAAAATCGAAGTAGTTAACATTTTGAAAGCTTCTGCAATTAATTACCCATTACAGATTAATCGAAAATGTTATGTTTGCGAGAAAAATTACGTTGTTTGCTAGAAATTACAAGTTAATAGATCACAATTTACAACATAACTCAAACTTTACTTCTTTCTGAAACTCAATACTGTTACTTATGAACGCAATCTTCTGATATTTCTTAAACTTCTCGACAAACTGGTAACTAAATACAATTCAGAACTTTGTCAGACAGTCACCTCGATAATCCAGCACATGATTAATAAAAAACTCAGCATGAACCTTACTTTCAGCATTTATTCTTTTATGCACTTCAGTGATCGCACATTTTCCTCATACTTCTCGAATTGAAATACTCTATCTTCTGTAAGCGAAAGTAATGCGACTTACAATAGTAATAAATAAAAAGTGCTAAGAGTCGACAAAAAAATTCAGGTCAGCCTTTCTTACGTTACGGGACTAAAATTTAACGAATACATGATTCACAGAATATATTGCGTAATTAAGACGACTGCAATTCAACATTAAAAGTGGAATGAAATTACAATAAAAACGACTCTTTATCCAATCTCCACCTTTCTTACTGATTCCAGTAACATATCTTAAACCCTCAACCATATGATAAATTTATTTATCATATGCTAAATTTAACTTTCAACTTCCATGTATGCCTGAAACTAATGAACAATATTGACAGACATTTAGACTTCAATATTAGTAATTCAATGTATCAAAGCCAGAGCAGTCCACAAGATATACATGCTAATTGTGCCAATGCAAGAACAAAATGAGGTCAAGAAAAAAATAAAAACTCCACAATACATGGAAAAACTCCATAATGAATGGATAAGTGCCAACCTCATTTCGTCCAAATTTATATCTGACTAGAAGTCAGAGTAAAGAAAAGCAAAAAAACTGACTTCCCTTCTTCATTAGAATGGATAATTATAATATATATTTCCTACATATTTCTTTCCTACACAATATCACAATTGTGGATATGATTTAAACACCAAATACGATAAAAACAATGATAATTAATGGAAGAAAATTATAATAAAAGACTTCTAAGATGAGCAATCTCTGACTGAAATGTGAAAGAACTTTCGAATTCTGCAATCATACTAAAAAATGAGCTATTGGTGACCAATTTTCCTAAAGTTCAACTTGAGTTAGAGGGTAGGATTCGATCATCAAATGACGATAAAGTAGTTGATAGCGTGTTGGCAGAACGAACTCTTTCTTCCAATTCTTCTCGCAACCTTTTTTCCACTTCTGAGTGCGGCTTCCAATCCAAAAAATAAGCAGGAAGTAGTGGGGAGTGTTGGACAAATTTGCAGATCTGAAGTGCACATTCAGTATCATATTGAAAATACATTAAAAGATATATATCTGAATATGAGATATAATTTTGATACTGTATACTCTTGTAACAACTGTTATACACCGCAACTATTCAATTATAAGCGTTCAACAACTTTAAAATTTATTTTCAATAGTTGCGTTCGGATGTTTTCGACATCTTGGAGGATTAATAAAATAAAATAGTTTTGTTTCTTCTACTTTTTTTCCGAACCAATGAATTCTAGAACAAAAACTAATTCCTTGATCCCAAGCAAAAATAAAACATCTTCATTGTTCCTGCTCTCATTGTTAAACGATTACTAAACAGAACCAATAAAACGGAATAAGAATTCAAGTTCTCTAAAACTTTTTTATTCCATAGTTCCTAATTCTAATTATTAGTAATTAAGTAATCAATTGACATTACAACTGAAAATCAGAAAAACGTCTAACAAATGCTAAAAAGCAGTTACCCCAAGTGGATACATTCCTGAATCTGACAAGACATGGACGAAATTCTTGGCATCAAACTGATGGCTATCACGTGCTGAATCCGTAGGAACTAACCTAAATAAAAGAATAACCTAGCATTGCTATCAAAAGTTTTGCACAGCAAAAAGCATTCCCAATTTCTTTTAACTGAAATAATGAAACTCTGTGCCACACTGGAAATCATAAATGTCTTCATTGGTAAATGCAATTGCTTTCAGCAAATATAAACAGTCGGAAACATTTTTATATTTCATATTTCAAACATTTATTACCATATGAGAGCGGCGAAGCGTTCACCCAGTTGATTAGATATAAGAGTTCGAATCTGCCCAAAATACTCCAAACCATCTTTAGAATCTGTGATAGAAATTATATCACCTTTTCGAAACAAGCGTCCATCCTACAAAACAATCAACTTACATAGTTATGCCAAATGTAAGATGTTTTCTACAATGTTGTAAAAAAACTGACGAAAAAATGCAGCCCAAAATGTCACTTTAATCATTAATACAATACCACAAAAATTATAAAATATAAACCTTATCCCACAATGATTCATGGCATTTGATGCCTGCTTTTTGAGTACTTGCTTTTTGTGGCCGCACTGATTTGAAAAAAGACGTTCTACGATTAGCATATTTATTTACCACAGTATTGACAACATTTCGTCGTCCACTAAAAATGCTTTATCAGTAATTTTTCTAGCATTCTTGTTTAAAAAAATATCCAAAGTAGCAGATAGACTTTTATTTCAATAATCAATTAATTGAGAAATACAAATAGCAATGGATATGCGAATTAAAAGAATTGGATCGCATTCATCTTTGCAATAAAAAAGTCAAACATCGATAAACTGGAAAGTCGAGAAGTAATCTATAAAAAAACTTGACAAAAGACGACAATAAATAGACGCACTTAGTAGAAACACTCCTACCCTGCCGTGATGTGATACTTCCAGATAATGCTCGCCTTGCTGCAATACCCAGCAGTGGTAGCTGTAACTAATAATGATACTAGAAATCTCCCCAAAAAATTTAAGATGAAACTTTGTTCGACATGACACGATTTAAATACACAACAGTTTCATAATTCAATTTAATAAATGACATTTTCAGTAATATATTTTCAATACACATGAATATTCACTGATTCATGTAAAGTAAGACTTACTTCATCGCGTTTTCGACCTCGTGCTCCTTGCCTTCTTTTCATCGCACCATTTCCACCATTTGAAGTGAGACACGACATTACGAGCCAAAATTACTTTTGATCTTTCTGATCAGTATTACCATTAGTAGTTATACAGAATTTGAGTAACATATGCAATCAAATGTAAAAGGCATGTTCAGTGGTCAGTAGCTCCTCTTTTGGAAGCTGAATACAAATATTAGTTCAGAAATTATTATTTCAATTAAAATTATTGAGAAAGCATATGACCACAAAGAAAAACTTTAATGAACATAATCTGCAGATATTATAAATTTCAGTAGTCTACAAACTTATCAAATATGTAAGTTTTGTTATTCTATAAATATTATACTGACAAAATTATTATATGCATAACATACATGTGGATCGAGTACTCCACTTAATTCATAATTCACCAGAATTTGCAAGTGAATCAATAGCAAATACATACAGAATTTTATGAACAATGAAATTTTCAAGACCATTCGTTAAAATTTGATAATCAAATATCAAATTTTAATCGATGATCTTGAAAATTTTATTATTTATGAAACTGCTAGTTACAATAGAAGAACTTAAAGGTACGAATTCAATACGAAGTACATGAAATTTTTATAAAACAAAAAAGAAACTTATGATTTTTACTTTTGCAAATTTAAATTTTATAATACATTTTATGTTTTGCAATCTTACCTTCCAAATCGTTAATAAAGCGTCTGCTTGACTGGATCATATTGATTAATATTACCATACCAAATAAAAAACGGCCAAAGTACCTTAAAAAAGAAAGTAAACTTGATAAAGATATTAAAGATACATCCTCATCCGTTGCGCAGAGCGTTAAAAACTGCTTTGGCCGCAAATTTATTTCGTTTGTAAATTGAAAAGTTACAAATTTGGTGGTGTAATTTATTTTCTGTTGGTAAATTGTTAGTGTTTTGTGAGTAATAAACTTTTTTTCGAACGGCATTTTATTTCTGATTAACTCTTACTTCGTTACATAAACAAATTTGAAGATTGTTTGTTGTAGAAATTGATTTCAGTTTGTAATTGAAACCTAAAATTGATTCGATGGCATTTCGCGAGCGTGATGCTGCCGCTGCTGCTGCTGCTGCTGCTGCTGCAAATGCAAATAAGGCACTTCCTTCTGCAACTGATCGGTCTGCTAGATCTGTTTTCGGTATGCTTTACTTATATTCAATTGTAGTATATGTATAGTTTTGTCAAAAAATTTGTCTTCATATTATCTGTAATGTAACTGTATATCTTAAGTATTAATTTAATTCTGTATTATCAAATCTAGTAAATCAATCTGATGAAGTTAATAATGACCGCAAAAAAGTTTTTAATATAACGGTGTGCAGTCATTTGATATGTTATCATACCGTAGGGACTAGATATTATGTGTAGTATATTAATGGGTAATAGATTTGATTTATTTTCTATTTTCGGGTCATATGTCATCGCCTTATTTGCAGTTGGTAATATATCGTATGAAGTTGGTGAAGACCAGTTGAAACAAGTATTTTCTCAGGTTGGCCTTAGTATTCTTTTATACATTTGTTATTTACTATATTGCTTTTTGTATCAAAAAACTAGTGCAGCTTATAAAACATTATCACTGTAAGCATACAAAAGGAAATCCATGACTTCTCATTCATACCCAAAATACTCCTTCATAAACATTTGTTTCAAAGCACTAATAATAAAAAATATGACAGTCCTGTAGTGTTCTATAAGTTTTCATTTTTTCAATATTTTTGCGTTATTCTGATATTCATGCCTAGATTAGCAGTTTTGAATCACTTCACTTTTCAGACAGAAAAGTTAGGCATGTTCACTATAAATAAATGTCATTGTGGCAGTACAGACAATTTTTTTTCCGACAAAGTATTCTGTTCTTTCAGTAATATTTATGTCGTTTAACAGTAGTTGAAAATACCATAATTTTAGATCATCATATTTATTCAGATTATTTTCACGGCTTATGATATTCTTGATACCAAGGTGAATTTTGAAAATTACTGAACAAATCATTTTGTAAGTACTCGCAGTATTGATTCTCGGCTGAGTATTAATATAATAGGTTGGACCAGTTGTTCATTTGCGTTTAGTACACGATCGGGATACGGGTAAACCGAAAGGTTATGGGTTTTGCGAATATAATGATGCACAAACTGCCGAGAGCGCAATTAGGTATTGTTCAAATTAAAGATTTGAAAAATATTGTGGTATGGACTGCAAGTTTGAAAAAAAAAAAAATGTGGTAGCTAGATTTTGAAAATAGAATGTGCTTTAAAACCTGTTTTTTTGATCAAGCCGTCTTACTACTCAAACATCTGTTTGACAAATATTATAGATTATTTTTTAAAAATAGAGATGTTTCAAATTTCACTTTTTCAATGTTCGCATTCAGGAATCTGAATGGCTTTGAGTTAAATGGGCGTCCATTGAGAGTTGATTCAGCTGTTGGGGGGGATCGCAGTGCTGATGAAGTTCAGCAGTTACAAGCAGCTTTTGCAGCCCAACAACAAGAAGTGCGTTTGATTTTCTGTCGAGATTTTTCATATTTCAGTGCTTAATATGATTCCTTCTCTAAGGTTTTCTTTACAGTTGTTTATCCGTAACCATAACAGCGGCATTTATCTTACACGATTCACTCTTTTTGTTTTAGTATTTGCAACAGCAGGCGCAAGAAAGTCCTTATGGCCCAGAAACTGATCCAGAAAAGGTGCCAGAAGCTATTTCGCGATCAGTAGCATCTTTGCCACCCGAACAGATGTTTGAGTTAATGAAGCAGATGAAACAGTGTGTTCACAATAATCCCAATGAAGCCAAGAACTTACTCATGACCAATCCACAACTTGCATATGCTCTCTTACAAGTTAGAATATTGTATTTTATTATTTTTAAAATGTATTGCTACAATTTGTTATTTATAGATTCCTTAATTTGTTTCATGACAACCAAAATGTAAATATCGCTGAAATAAAGACTGATTTTAATTTTTCTGTAGAGGCAAAAGTGAAAGCCATGATTCATTTTTGGTATTTATATTTTATATTTCTCATTTCGTTTTTAGCATTAATGTTATGCCTGTTTATTTCTACATTTTGGTCATTCATTATTATTGAGGGTATTGGAAACGTAGTACTGTATCCACAATTCTGTTTCTAGCAAAACTATTACGTGGGTTTACCTTGTAGTTTGTTAAAATAAATTTAATTTTGGTAGCACTTGAATTACCTTGAAGTAAGTGTGCAGTTAGAAATGTTAACATTTAAAATACTTATTTTTTTTTAACCAGAATTAAACTTATTTATCTGAAGTATTAATAAAATAGGCCCAAGTTGTAATGCGCATTGTCGATCCGCAAATGGCAATTGCAATGCTTCATCGTGAAACACCAGCAATCACACAGCCGTTTCATCAACAGCAACCACAAGCATTTACAGGTGAAGCGGTTTTTGCTGTGTCGGTAGTGTTATGGATGTTTTTGATGCCTAATACTTTAAATTATCTAATAACCCATTTTTCGTTTTGAAGCATCTTAGCTTTAGATATGACAGTGCCGGTCTCAATGCCAACCGTTTCCAGTGTGCCACAGCCAATGTTCCCTACACCAGTGCCTCAGATGACACCTCCATCAGTGCCAGCTGGTTTCCCCAGAGGAACATCAGGGCCTGTAGTTACTGGTGCATCTTCACCTCAAGTAACAGATCCGGAATTAAGTCCTGACGATCAACAACAAGCTCAACTGTTGATGCAGGTACGGCTTTGTATTGTGAGTGCATAATTCATTGTTATGTTGAAATATCAGTGATGTATTTATTATCTGCCAAATTACGACAAATTCAATATTTGCAGCTCTCATTATTAAGATTAGTTCCTTTTTATTTTAATGACACAATAAATAGTTTGTAAAAGAAATTTTTAAATGGACTTTTTGGATGTTTTAGGTATTACAACTAAGTGAAGAACAGATTGCTTTACTTCCTCCAGATGATCGAAGAAAAGTAATTGAATTAAGGAATCAGTTGCGTTCCAGTGTTTAGCTTTCTTGGCTCATATTATTTTGTATAGAACTTTATTTCTGTTGGTTGAAGAGGTTTTTATTAAACAATTATTGGCAATTTTTTTATTGATCTGTTTCATTTGTTACTCATTGTAATTGTTGTCAACTCTCGTTTTTGAGATAAATTGCTATTATTGTTGTTGCACTATTTTTTATCCATAAATATTTTTCATGAAAAGTATATTTTTTTACACAAAAAGATTTCATTTCAATTTCCAAAAGTATCAAAAATTTATCTATAAGATAAAATCCTTTGAGATTTAATTTTAGTGTATTCACAGAATTACAGATTTTACATAATATTAAGAATAGTGTTATATAAGAATTTTTACTTATGACATTGAATTCTGCTGTCATGTGGCATGATTAGCGTCCAACGTCTCCAAGAAGATCGAGGCCATTCAAGGTTTTTAGTATATGATTGACCACTTCTGCATTATTCCTCTTCTGCAGTAAGTAAGCATTTGGAGAATTGATTCCATTCTAAAATAATTTTATGAAAAAGGATATTTCTTACACAAACGAGGTTTCATGAAAAGGAGAACATTAGTTTTGATTAGATTAATTCTTGAAATTTTGTTGGGCATCATCTTACAGGAATTTGCCCGCCGTTTTGTTGTTCTGACAGGCCATCTATTAGTAGTTCCACTAATCGTTGATTCCGTGGATAAGACTGAAATTTTACTTGCAAAGATTAGAATATTGACGGAATTTATAAACAATTATTTAAAACATGTGTCAGAATTTTTTTGTGACCTATTTTAGAAGAATGAATATTGTTGAAAAAATATCATATCTGATTCAAGATAATTAATACTAAAATTTGGTATAAATAAGATATAAGCAAATTAAGGTCATACGGAGTAATATGTTCTATAATTGTCGTCTTTGATACACCATATAGTTGAGATGAAGATTAAAATACAACAGAAATACTTCATGACGTGTGATAGTTGGTACATTATCCCTGTGTTACCATATATCTTTGTGAATCCAATGATAATTAAATTTAATCAGTAATTATTTTTTCTACTTCTTTATAAATACTAACTTGATGCACAGGTTAACTGCAAAATAGTAAACAAATGTAGCAAGGATTCTGTAAAATACAGCATGGTTTAATAAGTTATGAAGTTTATTGTGGAAGAATTATGTAATAATGTTAATCACTACAAAAGGACTCTGTGAATGCTTTGTTCAGATTTTTTGAAAGAAAGTAAGAGATTGTTATCAAATTCAGAATTAAATTAAAAGAAATAAAATTATGAATGAAGATAAATACGGCATCATAATGGAAATTATAAACTTGCTGATAACTTTAACAGAAATTAGCTAAAAATAATTAATGATATTTCTTAGATCTTTAATTATGAAAATTTAGTCTTATTTGATACATTGATCAACTATTTGAGCCTAAATTAATAACCATTTCAACTCTGCCAAAAGTATAACTTTTGATAAAACACACAGTATCATAATTAATAAAATGGATAACCATCTATGTCAGTTCAAAATATTAGCAGAAATGAAGTGACAAATGCTTACGACTTTATCAATTAAGCCAAGTTAATAAAATATTCTCCCAACATTTCAGCCAAAATATTTTTTTGCTTGAAATAAAAATGAATGCATGAAAACCAGAAAAAAAATGAAAAGGTTGATCAAGAATGATAGTACTGATATAGTAATTAAATTAGCAGAAATGGAAGCGAAAGGGATAATAGTAAACAAAATTAGCAGTTATCAAATTGTAGTAATTAAATTAAGAAATGGAAGCGAAATGGATTATTATGCATTTAACAAAACTCAAAATATAATACTTTAAATTTAAAAACTTGATCAAAGTTTAATTGGTTTTATGCAAATTTAATGAAAGTATTCTACTTCTGAATATCTGAAATGAAAGTTTCTGAGAATCTTGTAGCAGTGAATGAAATATGATATTCAATGTCAGCTGAATATAATTTATAATTTTACTATTTTATTTTAATATTTATCTTATCTAATTATCATATCTTTAGCTTATTCATATCATGATTATCATATTATCATAATCATGATTATATTTCTTGAATGATTCAATATCATGATTATCTTACTCATATTATCATATCATGCTATTGGAACTGTTGAATTGCAATCATTTTACGATAACAAAGCAGTCCAAATCATAGCATTGAAAAATCCAATTTACAAAAACACTTTGACTTTTGCAAAATATTTGAATACCTTTTATTGAAAATTTTTTGAATCATTCAAGACAGAATATATTTTTTAAAGTCTTTGAGTAGTTGCTTGATTATTTTTGTTGATAAAAGTTTTCAAGTTTATTTTTTATTAAAATTCGTAAAGTTCTATGTCAGAATATACTTATAAGTATGAAAACAAAAGCAATATTACAAATTGAAGTGAAAAATTAACATTTGACATTCATATTTTGAGATGGTTAAATACTGAGGATGATTCAATTAATATTAAATTATTTTGTCAACGCTTGTCAACTTAATCCATTATTTAGTTAATATTAAATTGTCTTCAATGAATTGAAGACATTTTGAATCCTCCACCTGAAATTGCACACATGGATAAATTTTTTGAGTATCTTAAAGTAATTCTTAAAAAGTAATATTTTAAAGTTAATCAATACAAATAGAGAAAGCATTTCCTCTGCAAATTAATTAAATTTATATAGAAATTAAAATATAAGTTTTGATAAAAATTCATTTTCTGAATAGATTTGACAAATGTTTTTGAACTTTTCAATCAAATAATTTAATATAATATCTAAATTACAATTTAGTAACTATTGAAAAACATATGCTGCATAGTAATTCTTTTAATTTTTGATTAATGAACTTTTAGTTTATTAAATTTCAGATCAAACTTTCAAATTCACAATTCGTTTTAATACGTATGCATCAAGGCATATGATCATCTAAGCGATTTGAAACTTACTCTGAAATAATAAATAAATTAGATACTAGTAATATAAACAAACAAATGTTTGAAGTTAATAAATAGATGTAATAGAATAATATATTTTGAGATAATGAATCAAAATAAATAAATCAGTCAATACATAAATGAAAGTAAAGAAATTTGGAGGTTAGCTTTCGTTTTCGCTTTTTTAATTCTGGCGCCTGATCGCATTCTGACACTCTGAGTGTACTTGTCCCGCGCTCAGAGTTGTTATGCTCAACGTGTAATCCACAACGAGTATTGAAGGAGATCATTTCGAGTGTATTCTTGAGAACTATCGATTGCATGTATGCCTCGACGTGATCAGATATACTGGTCTTCTTGGCGTAGCGTTTGTGGAAGTTCGTCACTATCCCATTCCAGGTCATCACACATGGAATTATTTCGGTCCTGCATTTCATCTCTGACCCAAGCTTATTCACAAGTAGGTCATACTTTCACTGTTTCTCGGTCTGCTGTTA